ATTATAATCCGCCAGCCGATGGAGCAAAAGGGGGGGGGGGAAAAAACAATTTTATCGAATCTTTGTTTTTACATAAAATCACGTAAAAAATTTTTATTAATACTTTTGTCAAAATTTAAGATGAATGATCTGAACTAAACACCGCCAAATTTGTCGAAAACAGATTTTGCAAAATGTTTACTTATTACAAATTTTAAATGTCAACAGAAATTAATAGAATCTATTAACAATAAAAAATATAATGGTAGATTGTGGTAGATTGACTGCAGAAACAGAATCTTCTATCTTGAAATTACTAATGTGACATATTCAATTTTTATAATAAATTAAATGATTATGAAATTATACATTCTGCTTGGTTTTTGCTATCAAATGATGTCTGTAGATTCTGCAGGCAAACTATTAGCAAATTTATATTTTGCATATACTGAGTTGTTTTTTTCAATTACAGATATTCTAGATTACAAATTACAGATTTATAAATATAGATTAAAATTAATAATGAAGAAAATAAGCAAGCAAACAGACTTGTCGAGTTCAGAAGATGAAGATATAAGTATTTTGAAGGAAGCGATTGATCAGGAATTTTTTACTGATAATTTATATAGTACGAGGAAAGCCAAAGTTATTTCTCAATCTGGTAAGTAAAACTAATTTTACTTTTGTGTATCACATCTATAACATTTACAATATATGTGTTTATACAACTTATCCTCAATAATCATAGAAATATTATGATTGTGCTAATTGCTGTTTAACATTTTAAAAGAAGCGAATACTAACAAACTGGATGAAAACTACTCTTTAAGAACAAGCTCAAAAGAAGATAAATTTACAAATTTTGGTGTTACCGCTACATTTCAAAGTTTTATTGCCAAAAAACTGGATGAAATTTTGGATAGGTAAACATCAAATATTTCAAATATCAAATATTTTACAAATATTCTATTTCTAATAAATTATCATTTTGCACAAATGCAAATGCCAATTTTAGAACTATAGAATTGGAAAGCAGTGAAACAATTAATTGTTGTGGCAAACAGAGACAGAGGAAGCACAACAATTTTGGAATAAAGCTTCTAAATACATCGAAAAAATTGTTGACTGTAAAAGTCGGAGAGGAATATACGGAGAAAGAGAAGAGATCCAAAAGGAATAGACAAATTGCAGAAGATGACGAGGCTTTATCAAAATTTCGAGAAGCTGCCATCGATGCAGAATACATATTAAGCCAAGTAGACACAAAAGCTTGGGTTAATAAACGTCCAGAACCGGAATTTAAGTATAAAAGATTAAAAAATGGTACTTTAATTGAAATGTAGCATTACTTTTATATTCGTATATTGTATATGTGTGTGTATATATGTGTTATGTAAATATAAAGATCAGATTGTTTCCCAGAATTTTATTATTATTATTTTCAACTTAAAATACATAATCTTTTTTTCTTTTTTTTTTCTAACAGATTATTAATTTTTTATTTTTACAATTAAGATTTAATTTTTTTTTATTTACGATTTTAATTTCAATTACTTTTATTTTATATTAATATGATGAATGCTGTGTCAGTCACTAATAACTCGCACTGACCAGCGATATTAAATTCAAAACATGCATTAAACCCAAAAAATAACATTTATAATTCTGAAATGTAATAAATATTAAAGTAATCCACTAATTATAAATAAACAAAATACTGAAGTATCTACTAACTATACTAATCATGATATATATAATTTTGCATGACTTAATTATATTTTATTAAAATATTGTAATATATTATTTTAGTAAAATATTGTATTATGTATTGTAAGAATGTGTAACATTTTATTGAAGTATAGATAATGTAAGTAATAATGAAAATTTCACTCTGGCATCATTAGGAAGATGAATTAGATTCAACATTTAACATATGTTAACATTTAACATTTAACATGTGTTAACATATGTTAAATATGAAGTATAAAAGGATTTTGATAAGTTTTCTTTCCCATACAGCACAAAAAGATTGCTGATATATTGCAGAATAGTTTCATTGAAACATTGCAATATTGCAAATTGGTTGCGAAATATTGCTGCATCGTTATTGTATGATTGCGGCAACATTAAGATGGCCGCT